CTCGGCTAACTGGAAGTCCCAAGGCACCAACGGTAACTATTTACCCGCAAACAACGAGTGACTTCTGCAATTATTTCACACACTTCTGTGAAAATATCCTGATTCCGAGCGGGGCTGGGAGTCAAAACAAATAGAAGGCTAGAGCCTTTTGAAAGTAGGCAAGATCCCGAATGCAATGCATTCTGGGTATGTAAATGAAGCTGAGTCACCAACCTCGCGCTTCGGCAAATGCCTTCCTTTATTAGTTTTCCTGCTCGGTCTAGAACCACCACCAGGGGGCGAAGCAGAAACCAGATAGCAATATAGTCGCCGAGCCCAGCCAGAAAGTCTGTTTTATTTTGTTTTGTTTTTATTAAGGGACGACATTTATTCCTTTTCCAAATGTTACAGTAAGACCAGGGGCAAGAAAATGGTTTTAGCAGTTAGGGAAAAGAAAAGTGCAAATCTGGAGTTTGGCCGTTAAAAGTTATTTACAACACTGTGGGGGGAAGGAAGAAAAGAAGTTGTTTCACATTACAGGCCTCCCCACAACCCCAAAGCTTAATACTTGCTTAAAAGTCAAAAAAGAGACACAGTTGACTCACAAACTGGAGGTTAGATCTTGAGTAAGACATTTAGAAAAACCTAGACAAGGGCAGTGTCCTCCCCCGCCCAGTTGCCACTGCAGGCACAGCACAAGAGACTACAAACAGCAGGGGAACGTGGACACTCAGAGTTTGGGAGTGTAGGCACCCCCACCTCTGGCTCACGGATTTGGGGAGTAAACATAACCTACTTGGAGAAGAATTGGGGAAGACAACCAGCAAACTGCCTTCTGCGTGGCTGGGAAAGGGAAGGAGGTAGGGCCAGGGGCAGGAGAATTTCACATCAGTAACCTAACTTGGGAAACTGCAAGGGACCATCTTCAACTGGCCTTAAGAGCAAGAGCAGATGGATGATGGTGTTGCCGAAATATCAGCTTGCCTGTGCACCAATGCCGAACAGAAATACGGAGACAGATTTTGGAGGAAGAGAGAGATGGCTTTATTTTTCTGCCAGGCAGAAAGGAAGACACAGCAGGCTAGCGCCTGAAGAACTGTGCCCCCATCTCCTTCGGTAATAGGAAAAGATTTTATATGTGGGGCTCGCAGTCTGGCATATATGATAAGGATCAAAATAGTGAAGGTCTTGCATTCTTCTTCTTCCTGCGTTATTTCATAACAGTCACTGCTGGCATCAGGCAGCCCCGTAACTGCGTCGGTGCGTCTCGGGGCTCTTGGCCTGCGTGACCTTCTTTCTGAAATGCAAATGCTACAGGGGGTGATTTGCTACAAGGCAGTGCAGGATGTAATTCACATAGTGTTAAAGAGTCATAGGTTTGGGATGTTCCTGGTGGCACAGTGGTTAAGAATCCACCTGCCGGGCTTCCCTGGTCCCGCAATGGTTGAGAGTCCGCCTGCAGATGCAGCGGACACGTGTTCGTGCCCCGGTCCGGGAAGATTCCACATGCCGCGGAGCGGCGAGGCCCGTGAGCCATGGTCGTTGAGCCTGTGCGTCCGGAGCTTGTGCTCCGCAACGGGAGAGGCCACAACAGTGAGAGGCCCGCGTGCCACAAAAAGAAAAAAAAAAAAAAAGAATCCACTTGCCAATGCAGGGGACACGGGTTCGAACCCTGGTCTGGTAAGTTCCCACATGCCAAGGAGTAACTCAGCCGGTGTGCCACAACAACTGAGCCCAAATGCCACAACTCCTGATGCCCGCGTGCCTAGAGGCCGTGCTCTGCAACAAGAGAAGCCACCCAATGAGAAGCCCGCGCACTTCAACGAAGAGTAGCCCCCGCTCGCCGCAACTAGAGAAACCCCACACGCAACAACGAAAAACCAATGCAGCCATACATAGTAAATAAATAAATAATAATGTCCATAAATTAAAAAAAAAAGAAAAGAAAAGAAAGACACTTTCCCCTTTAGAGCAAAGGGCAGGCATGCTTACTGACTGCTATATAACATTCAGGTTCTCTGAAATCAGGGTTCCTCTTTGTAATAAAATCCATTGCATAAGCAGGCGTTCATCTGTGTTACTCCCATGGGACTTGGGGGCAAAGGGAACTGATGCAAAAAGAGAAAACCCATATAATCAATATGAAGACTATAAAAGGAGACATCATTATAGATGGTACATTCATTAAAATGATTTTGTAATGACATAATGAAAACTTCTTGCAATATGTTTGAAACTTTAGACGAAAACAGCGAGAAAATATAATTTACCAAAACGTACTCGAGAAGTAGAAAACCCAAAGTGTCCTCTAACCATTAAAGAAAAGGAATCAGTAATTAATTTTTTCCATAAGATCAGAAGCTTCAGAGAATTCGATCAAACATTCAAGAAAACATTCTAGTCTTAAACTCTTCCAGAGATTAGAAAAAGAGAGTACATCTTTTCCAAAAATCCCTTTCAAAGATTTTCCTGGAGGAGCGGCCATAGCACAGGAATAGACACCAGTCTTGGAGAGTTACAATCAGTAAAGGAGAGAGTGGCAAATGTAGCTAAGTGTACTCTGGCCTCTCTTCACATCACTTGTCCTTTTTTGTTTTTTCGGCTGACTTTGGGTCTTCGTTGTGGTGCGTGGGCTTCTCGTTGCAGTGGCTTCTCTTGTTGTGGAGCGCTGGCTCAGTAGTTGAGGCACGTGGGCTCAGTAGTTGTGGCTTGCGGGCTCTAGCACGCAGGCTCAGTAGTTGTGGCGCACGGGCTTAGTTGCTCTGCGACGCGTGGGATCTTCCCAGGCCAGGGCTCGAACCCGTGTCCCCTGCATTGGCAGGTGGATTCTTAACCACTGTGCCACCAGGGAAGTCCCAGATCACTTGTCTTTTACCTTTTACTAAAGATTTTGTGGAGAGGAATGTGTGGGAGGGTGCCTTCTCATCTAAGACGGAAAGTTTCCAAGGTTTCATCTATTAGGTATGACCTTTGCTATAGTTTTTGGTAGATAGCTCTTACCACACTGAGATTCAATTTTCTCAAACTTTCTTTCTATTAAGATGATATATGTGCATTGCTAGATGGCACATTATTCCTTTTACACACTGCTAGACTCAATTTGCTAATATTTTGTGTAGAATTTTTGCATCTGTGTTCATGAGTAAGATTGCTATATAACTTCTCTAGAGCCTCACTTACAGCTGGGGCAGGGAATCGGAGAACGCAGTTCCCAACCTACAACTTAAACTTGGAACTGCTTTCTGAAAGAACAAGTTGGCTGCATCTTCTATCTCTTAACTACGCACCTCTTTATAGTTCTACACATCAGCCATTTGTCTTTGAAATCCCACATACTTACCCTTATCTAAGTAAAACCTCAAAAGATTCCACTACCAATTCTCAAGTGTTTCTCTCCACGAAAGTCTTTGCCAAGACACAAAAGATTTCCTTAAACTGGGGAGGAATGTGTATGTGAGTACCATGCATGCCCATCCTCCCATATATCGTTGGTCCCCCAACGTTTGTGCTGCCTTTGTACCTACCAACAAAAACCTGTCTTCCATTGTAGAGAATGACCCCTAAACATGTTCTTACTGGGTAAAAGCTCCTGACAAGAAAATAAAAGGTGGGACTTCCCTGGTGGCGTAGTGGTTAAGAATCCACCTGCCAACGTACGCTCGTAAGATCCCGAGCAACTAAGCCCATGCGCCACAACTACTGAGCCTGAGGGCCACAACTACAGAAGCCCCCACGCCTAGTGCCGGTGCGCCACAACAAGAGAAGCCACCTCAAGGAGAAGCCCGTGCACTGCCACAAAGAGTAGTAGCCCCTCTGCTTACCACAACTCGAGAAGGCCTGTGCACAGTAACAAAGACCCAACGCACCCTTAAATAAATAGATTTTAAAAATTTTTTTAAAAGGAAAACAAAACATTATTTTTTGTTTTTCAAACAGATAATACTGTTAATATTTCTCACGTAGTCTACACTGCATTCTGGTATGCAGATGAGCTAGTCAGGGAAACAACTGTGCCCTCGAAGTAGGTGGAGAGGCCAGCGGCACTTGACTCTGCAGCTGGGGGGACAGCTCATTTCTAAGCCCCATCTTCCATGCAGCAAGCACTTGTGTTTACCCGCTGTCCTATCACACCACATTACCTGCCCGCTTCCAGCTCTGCCTGTCTGCGGTTCTTTTCTCTTTACAAAAATATTCAGTCCTCTGCCATCTTCCCAGGCTCTCCCACAGCCCACCGACCCCTTTTATAGCACTTGTCACCAAACTGTTCGCCGGGCACAAGACGTGTCCTATGCAGGTTGGTCGAAAGGCTGAGTCAATGCTGGATGGAATGAATGACTGCGAAGCAGCCACAGAAAATGCCCTCTTTAAATTCTAGTCCCCTCCTCCTTCCTAACCGAATCTTTCCCTCCTTTTGCTTCCACCGCTTCCTAGCTGTGGTACCTTATGGCAAGTGCTTTACCTCTCTGTGCCTCATTCCCTCAAATGTCCAATAGGGATAAGTCATCATGCTGTTGCAAAATGAAGCTCCTTGGTCACTGGGATCGTCACTGGGACTCTGAACAGAGAGCCCTCTGCACAGAGCCTAGGCAAACAAGGCCTCAATAAGGGTCCGTCAGAAAGGAAAGTTTCTCTAAACTGCTGTCGACCTCACCTCCTTTCTCATTTTCTGCTACACATCCCCACCCACTTGCTCTGTCTCCCCCTCACCCCTTGTCTTTCCCCATCCTGTCTCCCTTTGAAGACCCGCCGTCCTTCCCTCCTCCAGGAAACATTCTAGATTCCTCAAAGCCCTCTGGCGGCCCTACCTCTGTGGGGCCTCCAGCTCTTTTCAGCCTCTAAGCGTCCACCTTCTTCCTCCGGCTCTGGCTGGTTCTGTGAGTCCCAGGGGGCCTCGGCCTCCTCCTCCCTCTCCCCTTTAACTACGAGCTCCAGAAGGGCAGGACTGAGGGGTCGCCGGCCCAGCTCCCCCCACGCCTGGCACAGTGCTGGCCAGTAAGAGGTGCTAAGAAAGGTCGATAAAGAGTTGGAGGGGAGGGGGTGCTGCTTCCTTGCGAGGGCGAGGGCGGGGAGTGGAGCGGCGGGCCTCTCCAGCGCCCCTGCCTTCCCCAGCCATCGAGCTGATCAAGGACCTGGTCAACTACGACGTGCGCCCGGCGCTTCTCAAGGGCCTCGTGGCGCTGCTGATACCGTCCTTCAAGGAGACCAGCAAACAGCAGTCCCAGATCGTCAGCGGTAGGGATCCACTGAGAACGGGGTGGTGGACCCCAACGGGGCAGGGTGGAAGATGAGGACGAGGGGTCCTCCAGTCTCACGGCCACTCCTCCCTCTTCCAGACTCTTCGGTTCTGCAGCTCACCACCCACCTGCCGTGGTTTTTGCAGCAGGCCGCGGCCGCCAAGGCCATCAGGTAAGCGGGCAGCAGGTAGTGGGCGGATGCGGCAAGCCAGGCTCCGGCGCTGCCCGCGGGCCCCCAAGAGCGCTCCGGCCGCCGGAGGGTCCCACGGGGCCGCCGCAGCATGAATCCCACCCCCACCCCACGCCACCCCCGCCCAGGATCCTGGCGCGAGGCAACACGAGCCTGGCCGAGGAGATGCTGCACCTGCGCGTGGTGCACAGCCTCATGGCCGCCATGGGCAACATGGACCACAGCAACAGCCAGCGGCAGGCCAGCCTCACGCTAGAGGTGCGCTGGGCGGCCGGGTGGCGGGCGGCAGGGCGGCGCGGCAGGCACAGAGCGTGGGCACGGCAGTCACGCCCCCTCGCCCGCCCACGCAGTACTTTGTGCAGTTATTCCCAGTGGTGGAGGAGCACGTGCGCAGGTCCATGGGGGAGGAACTCTACAAGCTCTTCCGTGTAAGTGCTCCCGCCCCGCCGCGCCCCGCGGGACACAACAGTGCCCCTGTGCACAGCCCAGCGCACGGCCCCTCCCCCTGTACACCGCACACACAGATCGGCCTCGGGGCCGGCAGCGGGAGGGACTGCCCTGGCTTGGGCTTCTCCACCTGGCACCCTTCCGTCCCCTTTCCTGCCCTTCCACTCAGGTTAAGAGCCTGACCGCAGCCTGCAACCTCCATGTGCCCACGCCCAACTCCAAGTCCAGGTTGCCCTGGCATCCAGCCCGCCCTGGCATCCAGCCCAGTTCCCCTTGCTCCTGTCCTCAGGGCAACGCCGAGGACTTGTACAGGAGAATAGATAGCAATCAGGCGGACATCTTGGCGGCCAACGAAGTCAATGTCACCAAAGGTGAGTGGGGTGTGAGGGGGCTGGAGCAGAGGTGCGGCGGCACCCACACTCAGGCTCATCTCCCTGTCCCCAGAGCTGCATCTCAGTGGCCTCTCCGACAGCACCATGAGCTCTTACTTTGGCCATTGTAATCAGGGTCAGGTGGCCTACATCACACACTTCCAGAGGGAGGCTGTGGGAGAAAAGGAGCAACAGAGCCTCCAAGGCAAGCCAGGAAGCCCAGGCTGTGTGGCAGGGAAGCCTGGCAGGAGGAAGGAGCCAGGGCCAAGCTCCGGTTGACTCTTCTTGGCCCTTGGTGGGAGGCTGGGGATCTGCCCGCCAGAAGGGGAAAAGGAGAGCTGGCTGGGAAGGGTTCAATAAACAAACGGTCTTGCTATCTGTCTGGTGTCCGTGTGTGGAGGGCAGAGGGCGATCTAGTGAGAGTTATGATGACGGGTCGGGGTGCCTCTGCTCACCAAGGAAAAACGCTGGTCTGAGGGGAAGGACCACCAACGTCGTAGAAGATTCAAGGGCACAGCCTGAGGAGCGGGCCTTACCTCAGCTCCCTGCTGGCCCCTGCACTCTCCCCTCCAGGACACCACACCCACCTGGTTTTTCTCCTGCCTCTCCGGTTGCTTCCTTTCATTCTCTTTTGCTGATTCCTCCTCTTCAACCCAGCTTCCTTCAAGGTGGAGTGAGGCAGGACTCTGACCTGGAGCCTCTTCCCTACCTTTACACCCTGGTGATTCCATTGCTTTAAATACCACTTCTGTGCAACGACTCCCACGTTTCTATTTCCAGCTAAACATTTCTACCTCATGGTGTTGTCGACCAAAAATTTAATCTTAGTCGATCTAAGAAAGCAATGAAAAATTTTATTTGAGCCAAATTGTGGCGTATGAGCAGGAACAGCCTCTCAGAAAGCTCCAAGTACTGTTCTGCCTGTGAGAGGTCAAAGCACAGTTATCCAGGTCTTTGTTCGTTAAATGACGTACACAGTGACATTCACACAATCCACATCGACACCTACAAAGCAAGTAATGGGTCATGGGTCATCAGGGCCCCTTACAAGATCAAGGAGGAAGGTTATCTCCTAAGGAGTTACCTTGTTGATACCAGGAGAAGGTTGCTCTTTACAGTTGACCAGGTATTTCTGCCGACAGGGAGGTTGGTCGATGCATGGTGCAGATACGCAATGCACAGTAGAGGGAAGAGAGGAGGCCAAAGGGCAGAGAAAATTATTTATGTTCAAATTTTCCTTGACTCCCTTTAGAATATGCATTTGTATTTCATCAGTGTCCAAAGCTGAACTCCCAGTCCTGTGCCATCTTCCCCAACTCAACTGATGGCAACTCATCCTTCCTGCCACTCAGAACAAAATCGTGGTGTTCTCCTTGATGTCTCTCTTTAACCTCTGGATCCATCCTGTCTGTTGACTCTACCTTCCAAATATACCCAGGATCCAAGTATGTCTCACTACCTCCATTGCTAATACTCGGGTCCAAGCCACCATCATCTCTCCTCTAGATGACTCTGCTTTCTGCCCCATTCTCTTTGTCAGCACAGCAGCCACAGTGGTCCTTGTAAACTTCAGATTCTGTCACTCTGCTCAGAACCTTGCAGGGCTCTCCATTTCACTGAGTAAAGCCCAAGCCCTTACTGTTACGGCCTCCACGGTGATCTAGGCTCCCATGACTTCTGAACTCTCTCCTACTTCTCTCTCTCTTCTTCACTGGGCACCAGACACATTGGCTGTGTGGTTCTTGAAGCTGACAAAACAAGCTCCCGCTTTAGGGCTTTTGTGCAGACTTTTCTGCTGAACACTTGAGAGAGGTCCTCTTCCTAGAACCCTCACCCCAGGTGTCTGCATGGCTAACTCCATGACCTCCTTTCAACTCTTTACACAAAAGGTATCTTCTCAGGAC